TCATAACTGTAATTTTGCTACTGTTATAATCGTAATGTAAATGTCTGATATGCAGGATGTATTTTCAGTGGTCGCGACCCACAGGTTGAGAACCGCTGTAAGCTATTGACACTTATTCCGCAAGTTTTGAAACTGGCATTTTATTTTACCAAAAGAAAATTTCAATGGAAGGTTTTCAGACAGTAAGCAGGGTTTACAATGCTTCCTAAAATAGTGATTATGTTTGTTTTACTAATGGTTTGTTGACTGAGAAGCCAAGGGATTACAGTTAGACAATCATCATTCAACAAGAAGGAGAAAAAAAAAGGAGACATATATAATACTCTTTGTAATACTTTAAGCAATAAAACAAAATTTAAAAAAAAGATTACTGTATGCACAAGTAGCGTTATCTAAAGTCACTACTTCTGGCTTTATCAGCAACTGTAAAACACCATTGTTCGCTCCATTTTCATAAATGTTAAAATGTGAAAAATGATGCACATAGTAGAGCTAAAATATGGTAATGTTAATGCTAATAGCTAGCCTTTCATGAGTGACTGCTATGTGTCAGGTACTACTTAAATTATTAACATAATCCTATGAAGTAGGTGTTATTTAAATACAGCTAAGCATTAAACAATTTGTTTGAAGGCAGACATCTAGCAAGTGGTAGAGAGGGTGTTTAAAATTGGTTCTCTGTCATTTCACAGTGCATTTTTTACCCATAGGTATCAGGTTATAAATATTTAAACAGCAAATACCAAAAGAGGGGGTCACTCAATCACATGAAAAAAGATAATCTCTTCATCAGCAATTTTCCTTGAATAATAGACAGAGCAAAGAGCAATTGTATGAACAAATGTCAGGCTTATATATTTGTGTATTATCACAAAACTTTCAGAATGGGAGATAAAATATTGTCTATTTGAGGAAGAGAGAAAACTGCTAGATCAGCTAGAAGCTGCAATGACTGCAGAAGAAACATTTTCTGGAAAATGCCATATGTCACAAATAACCACTTAATTTTTCCCCAAATAAACAAAACCTCTGCAATTTTCAAAGAGAGGGAAAGTTTATCTATACTTAATGTATAGAAAAGAGCAAATGTGGACAAAGGAAAGCACACATTTTGTTTTGCATGGGTTTTGTTTTCATTAATTTCACATGCTTTTCACATCCATGGATCTCTGTCTCATCAAAATGAGTAACTAATATGAACATAATGCACCTTTGGCTTAAGCTTATTAATGTTAAACTATCTTCTATAGTTTGAACCAAAGTAGTTAATAAAAAGCATTAATCTGATTCTTCTGGGAAAAATCTCTTTCCCTGCCTTCATAAAGACACAGATTTTTTCCCATAGCTATGTTTATGTGCATGTAGAGACTTCAACATGCCCTCAAGAATAACTTCGTTGGTCCTGATTGGATAGCTCAGTTAGTGTTGTCCTGATATGCCAAGGTTGTGGGTTCAATCCCTGGTCAGGGTACATATAAGAATCAACTAATGAATGCATAAATATGTGGAGCAACATATCAATGTTTCTCTCTCTCTCTCTCATAAGTAAGTAAGTAAGTAAATAAATAAATAAATAAATAAATAAATAAATATAACTTCGTTGGCAGACATTAAACAAAGCCACAAGGCTAAGTAACATACTCTCTGTGTTTTTCACCTTAGGAGAAAACATAGGGGAAAAGCTTATTGACATTAATCATGGAAATAATTTTTTTTGGCTACCATACCAAAAACACAGACAACAAAAGAAAAAATAACAGTTGGGATTACATCAAACTAAAAAGCTTCTGCACAGCAAAGATCAATCAACATGGTGAAAAGACAACTTACAGAATAGAAAAAAAAATATTGGCAAACTGTATATGTAATAAGGGATTAGTACTAAAGCATGTAAGAAGCAAAATCAGTATTTCGAAGAGGTATCTGTACTCCCGTGTTTATCTCAGGATAATTCATAATAGCTCAGATATGGAAATAACCTAAGTGTTCATCAATGTATGAATGGATAAAGAAAATGTAATATATGTATATATAAATGTATATGTATATAGAAACACAAATGCAAATGAATGTTATTCAGCCATAAGAAAGAAGAAAAATCTACCATTTATGACAACATGGATGAATATGGAAGACATTATGCTAAGTGAAATAAGCCAGACAGAGAAAGAAAAATACTGCACAATCTCATTCATAATGTGGAATCTAAAAAAAAAAAAAAGAAGTAGAGCTCATGGAAACAGAGTAGAATGGTGATTGCCAGGGGCTAGGGCTGGGGAAAATCAAGTGATATTGGTCAAAAGGTACATACTTTCAGTTATAAGATGAATAAGTTCTGGGAATATAATGTATAGCTTGATGACTATAGTTAAGAATACTATATTGTATGCTTGAAATTTGCTAAGAGAGTAAATTTCAAGCATTTTCACAACACAACAATAAAAAGTAACTATGTGTTAATTTGATTGTGAAAATCATTGTACAATAAGTAGATATATCAAATCATCACATTGTACACTTTAAATAAATATAATTTTATTTGTCAGTTAGACTTCAGTAAAGCTGGAAAAAAGATTTAGTTTAAAAACAAAAGATGCATTAATTGTTGTTGATGTCTTCCCAAACAACATGTTCAAAGAGAAAGAAGTTTTCATAAACTGTGCACACACACAGTGTGTGTGTGTGTGTAGTAATGTATACATTTTAAAATAAATGAAACTGAACCATAAAATATTACTTTTCCAATAGAAAAAATATATAAACAATGTCAAATGGCAGGGAAAACTTGGTACTATCAAGTATTTTATTTTTAGCCACTCCATTAACATGTTAATATCAGGGTTTTATTTAAGGGACACCTGAATTGTATTGAAATATTTTAAGGTAAATATTCTGAATGCTAAAGCTTAATCTTATATTAACTAAAAAAATTGTATTTTGGGCTTTATGCTTGTCTAATGATGTTGACTCTTCCTTATAGGTAATTCATTTAGTTGACTAATAGACACACAGATATAGCAAATATGTAATGTTTAACAAGTAGAGACCCAGTAATGAGGAATATCACAAACCCAGAATAACAATCCTGAATCAACATCAGTTCGCCTGATCTGTGTACATTATAAATGAAAACAAGAGCACTGTTCTACAATAACCTCAGCTTTATGAATAAACTATAAGTTTTCTGAGAATATAAGCTGGAAATGATTCAGTGTTAAGCACTGTGTCCTTGGGTATTCATAAATTCTTTTGTTTGCTTTGCCTATAAATGTCTCTATATTTTTAAAGAGTATATTTCAAGTATTCTAATATGCAGAGGAAGTCTGCACTTTTCCATACTAAGTAACAGGGGAAAAGCTTTAGAGTAAAACCATTTTTCTCACTTTGTATAAGTTCACTGCATTTTTAATGTAGACTACTGCTCCATCCCCCCATTAGCTCCAAGTTGTATGAAAATTATACCTTTTTCTGTTTCCATGCATAAAAATACCCAACATGTAAACCTTATATTACCAACTGGAGTCCATGGACCAACAGCAATGGCATCACCCCACAGCGTGTTAGAAATGCAGGTTCTTGGTCCTCCCCACCCCCCAGACCTACTACATGAGAATCTGCTTTATGATCCCCAGGTAATTCTAATACGCAGAAAGTCTGAGAAGCATTAATTTACGGCACTTCATTAATTGACCTAATTTTCTGTAAGTTAACTCTATCTAAACAAGCGGTATAAAGTATTCCACATGCGTTCTTTGCTTAGCAATAGTCAAGATTTAGTGTGTAACAAAATCACCAATGGCACTTGTTAAAAATACAGATTTTCAAGTTTTTCCTCAGAGTTTAAAATTCAATAAGTCTGCAGTCAAGCCTGATTTCCCCAAACCACGACTCTCCTGAACTGATTTAAAGTTAATGATAATGTCAATTCTGGTTAACAGCTCCAAATCATAGCAAAATACCTGTAAGAAGAAAATCACATCCAAGCTGTTTCGGTCAAATTTTTTAATGTTTTGAATTCTTTCTGAAACTGTGAATCACAGAATAAAATATTTGGTATTAAGTATGCGTAGTTCCATTCCTAGAACATGATGAGATCATTTTTCCTTTTTTTTCAACCCAACCTCCAAAAGGAATACCATTATTTCAGCCAATGGATAACAAAACAATTTACTAGAGACCTGCCCCCACTGGAATCAACCACTTCTTGTTCTAGAAATAAGATCAATATATTCTGTAAAGTATTTATAACTCTCCAGAGTCCTCAAACAAATGCACCAGGAGCCATCAGGTAACCAATGGAAAAACAAAAATGTGATACCCCAATTACAGACATTCAAGTTAAAAAACCCCAACACCTCTTAGAACAAACAAGAACACCCCTGAGTGGGCGGGGCGGGGGGGTTTATTCAGCCCAAACCCTGTTGATTTCTGGAATCTGTAACAGCACACTTTTTTTCTAGTTAATTTTCTGGTTACATACATACCTTAGAGCATATTTTTATTATTAATTTGCTTGCATGTTTACTTTGAGACTTTTGAGAACTTGGTTGTAGTTCGGATTTCACTTGCAGCAGCAAAACATGGTGATACACCAACCTTATAATCGATGCCAGGCTGCTGAAGCCACATGGGTTTTTAAAGATACGGCCAATAAACCATAGCTGATAGCGCTGGGTTTGCATAGCCCTATTTTTTTCTAACAAGCTTTTTCGTGTAGCCACACAGAAGATGTTCAGTTTGCATTCTTCTATATCACACTATATACCGTTTTCAGAGAAAAAATGATCAGAATTTTTGTGAAGCACCCGTCCCCATTTCACTTGTTACTGCTTGTTATATATACTAGTAAGTGTACAATGCTCATTTACTTTGGTGCCTTGAGGCTGCCTGATGATAAACGATGTAAGATGTCCTTGTCTTAAATTTGGAAAACTCACTGTTTCCAAATTTCATCCGGAGGAATTTTTATACAACTACTGAAATAAAAAAAGCAGACCTGCTCACATGTTCACTATGTACTTTTATTTTAAACACCAGCACAACAAACACAATGACAAGACAAGACTGTTACCTCAATAATACTGATAACATTCCTTGACAAGTTGGCTTATAATTTACATACATTATTTTTATCTGGAGTTAATTCTAAATATTATCTTAAGCTATACTGTAGAACACAAACCTTAAACATATGCCAGTTGCAAACATAATGTGCTTAGTTACTATTTTTCTTGTTATTTAAGCGAAATGATTTAAAGTTCCTCGAAATCATGTCCACTTGTGTTCATTATTTCGGGATGCATGACTCGTCCCATGAACAGGATTGTTCCTGCATTGGGTTGGCAGTAAACAAAAGAGGGGATAAACAACAAAAAAATATATGTATGTTTAAAAAGGGGATATTTATTTGTCTTCTTTCTTACAACAAGCAATATTCTAAAAATGAAAATATGTTATTTTCATTTTTTCAAGTATCACTTAGACATTAGAAATTATCCAATAAACAATGTGGGGAAATGTTCTCAATTTTACGAAATTATTCTCTTTAGCCTATTAAAAAAGTTCTGTTCTCATAATAGACTTACCTGTTTTCCTATTCCTGATAAGAAAGAAAAATGGATGGTCCACAATCACTTGAGGATACAGCACAGCCATCCTGCTAATGGCAATCATTCCTAAGTGCAGAGAGAAGGTAATTACCTGTCTGTGATGTGCAGGGACTAATGAGTAATTTCTCCAAACCATCTATATTTAATGCAAAGGCAATGGTTTACGGGAAACATGACTTTAAAGACTTAAAGAGAAAAATTATAAAGGTGCTAACATTTCTACTTGACTTTGAACACATACACCCCCCACATACCCCACCAAAAAATAATAGGACAATTTATTCTGCTCCTTACAAAACTTTTAGTCCCAGTCTTAGATAAATACTTACGTTTTTACTAAAATGATCTTTCAGTTAAAGGAAGAGAGAAGAAAAAAAACTAAAAAAACTAAGAGGTTTTTTTTAATATTTTTAAATTATTATTTCTTTAGTCTGAAATGGGTCTTTTTACACAGCAAATCCCCAGGCTTCCAGTAAGTGGCCAGAATGGCAGTGATTAAAGGGAAAATACAGCAGTGAGAGGCTCAATGTGTTTCCTACAGCTGGGAAACTGAATTTCTCTGAGATCCTTATTATAAATGACCGTTTTATACCTGCTGCTGGGTGATTCAATTGTCAGAAAAGGTCACTATTAAATTATGTGAGTGTTAAGCTTTCTTGATGCCTGAGACTACTGTGTTTCTATTTCCTTCTGAAAATGTTGTTTCAGCTCGTGCTATCCTTCAAATGGACAAATTTATGCAAAGGTAGAAATAATGTATGCAAATATGATATTACATTTGGAAACAAATCCAACCAAATAAAAGAAGAAAAAAAAAGGCAATTCTCATTTAACTAGGGAAGTCAGAATAATCGAAATGATCAAGGATCTTTGCCATTTTTGCTTTGTATGCATGGTTTATGTCAAATTCCTTGATTGTTTATTTAAAATTATTATTTCATTGGTATTATTATTTAGTTAAAATTATTTATTACATTCTATCAGATACTCTTGTTTATGTATGTGCTTTTAAAATAAAAGCTTTTTAAAAATATATATTTTTATCTATTTCAGAGAGCGGAAGGAGAGGAAGAGAGAAAGAAACATCAATGAGAGAGAAACATTCATTGCCTGCTCCTGTATGCCCCCTACTAGGGATCGAGCTGATAACCAGGACATGTGCCCTGACTGGGAGTTGAACCCTGACCTCGAGGTGAACCATGACTTCCTAGTTCATAGGTCGATGCTCAACCACTGAGCCACACTGGCTGAGCTAAAATCAAAACTTCTCACTGACAAAATTATAAACTAACTTCCACAAGTAATCAGGTAGGAAGAAAAATGTTTAAATGGGAAGCAGGGAAAATTTTAAGATAGTGAAACAGGAAGCAGAGCAGGAAAATCTATCCTACAGAGCTGACAATGCTCAGCGCTTATTTATTAGAGAGAAAACAGGACATGGGAACTACCGCACATGGGGCCCAGGAGTGAGTGCACGCTTCGTAGCTTACTTAGAAAATTCTACCTGCTTCAGCATAAGCTAGACTTCTAAGTGAGAGCCGAGCCAGGGCAGTCATTCTTTTGGCTTGGCTCTAAAAATGACCCCTGCCCCCTACCCATGACTGCTTCAAAAATACAAATCTAAAAATGGTGAGAAGACTGTAGAGAAGAACTGGGCACCTGAGGTGGCGGCAGCCTCCGAGCCCTCTTCATTCACCTCGATGAAGGACTTGTGAATTGCCTTGGAGAGGAAAATCTCCTTATTATCTGCAGAAAAGAGAGGCGGAAGCATTTCTTCAGTATCAGAGATAGGAAAGCCTTTAACTCTTTAGTTAAAAAGATTTGAAAAGTATAAGAGACATACTATACTGATAGTATATAAACATAATTATATCAAACATAGAAACATTGTAAGATTACATCTCTCTCTCTCTCTCTCTCTTCCTCTTCTTCTCCTTCTTCTTTTTCTTTATCTCTTGATAGGTAGTAGATAGATACATACATACATCATACATACATACATGCATGCATGCATACACACATACATGAGAGAGAGAGATAAAGATAGAGATTTTTCCTACTGGTTCTGTTTCTCTGGAAAACCTTGACAACGTGAAGCCATAGGGAGAAGGCAGCCATCTACATGCCAAGGAAAGAGGACGCAGAAGAAACCCACCCTCAAGACACCTTGATCCCACACTTCCAGTCCCCAGAACTGTGAGAACATAAATGTCCATTGTTCAAGCCACTCAGTCTGTGGTATTCCATTATGGCAGCCCTGGCAACTATACAAGACAATAGCTTTCAACCTTGGGATTCTAATTTCCCCCAAGATTGAACAAAACAAAACGGTGCCTGAAATACAAAAATAAAACATAGCACAAGGAAGCAAGATAAAGAATTACTCAAGTTTGTACCCCACCCCCTGTTTTCCCAATTGCAGGAGGTCTAATTCAAACCTAAGATAAATAACTTTGTTGCTGATGCCCAGCACCATTCAGTAAAAGTGCAATTGATTTCTCATTAGGCTGTTTAGTAAGATTTTATAAGTAACCAAGTCCTATCCACAACGTACATTTTCTTTTTAAGTTTTCAAAAACACAGTTGTCTTAAATGGATAGGGAATGATGTTCAGCAACATTTTGGGTACATCTGTTACACAGCATCTGCTTATTTTGAATAAGTCCCAAGACAACTGAGTGACATCTCTGAACATACTTTTAACAGGGATATTACTTCTTCAGCTCATATTTAGGATTCAGATATAAGCACTGAATTATGACTTAGTCCATCTCAAATACTAAGCTATCTTCTAGAATGCATTTGATGACTGGAAGAAAAATAAAAAGCAATACATTTTTTACGTTAAACAAGTATAATTAGCTCTCTCAAATCTAAAAGACTCATTGTTTTTTAACAAATAAAAAGAAACAGTAAACTATATCAGTAGTTAACTGATGTCGTATTATTTTCAGACTCCGCTGCCCATATTCATCAGTCTGACAGTGAAGGGAAGGTCATCCACCAAAAGCCAACACTATCGCCCTAAATGCAAAAGTGACAGTACCCAGTTCCTAAATGGTAATGAGTGCCCACATTGCCAGCTAAGTCCTCTTCAAATACTGAGGGGAGTTCTCAACGATACCATGTGGTATGTCAGCCATATCAATTCGCCCAGAGGAAACCGCCTCCAATAGCTCCTGAGCCTGATCTGCCAGCTGTATGAGGCATCTTGAAAGAAGGAATGTTGCCCCTTCAACTCTGACCTATGTCCTAAGTGTACCTTCTCTAGTCACCGAATCTCTCATATGCTCTCAGTTACCCACACAAAATGCTGGCGAGGGAAGGGGCACTGCTAGGTACTGTGACAGAAAGATCAAGAAAACAAGGATGCTGAGGGTTCTTGCAAGAGAGTGTTATATAAAAAGATAATGAAATGCATCTATATATATAAAAGCCTAAGTGACCCTTATGATGGAATGACTGGAACGACTAGAATGACCGTTGTTCACCAGAATGACCAGTCGCTATGATGTGCACTGACCACCAGGGGGCAGATGCTCAATGCAGGAGCTGCCCCCAGCTGGCAGGCCCTGATCATCAATGGGGCCTGCCGGCCAACATCCCGGTCCCTCCCGATCGGGGGCCGGGCCCCGGGCTGGGATGGGGAACCGGGGGTGGGTGGTGGCAGACGCAGCCCCTTTTCCAATGGGCCAAGGTCCGGCTCCCTCCTCAGGGCTGGCGACCAACCTCCCAGGTCCCTCCCCCTGTTCCTCCCCCTGGCAAGCAGGCTCTGATCGGCCCGCCACAGTGGCGGTTGGCCCCTACCCCCAGTCCCACCCATCAAGGCCTGCTAGCCAACCTCCCAGTCCCTCCCCCGCCAGCCGGCAGGTCCCGATCGCCTGATTGGGCTGGGATGGGGAACTGGGGGTGGGTGGTGGCGGACACAGGCAGTGAGGGAAGGAGGAAGGGGGGAGGCAGGGAACCACGCGGTGGTGGTGCATGGGCGGCAAGGGAAGGAGGAGCCGGGGAGGTGGGGACGGGGAGAACCTGATCAGCCCTGATTGCCTGTCAGGCCTAGGGACCCCACCCATGCACGATTTTCATGCACCGGGCCTCTAGTCTTTAATAAGATGCATGAAGAAGAGAGCATTCACAGAAAAAGAGAACATATCTAAAGATACAGATGAGAATTTTAAAGAATCACAAAAATACGATGTATAATTTTCTACAGATAAACTTTATGAGGTGTACTTTATTTACTATAAATTGTATTTAAAATACACAGTTTGGCAAGTTTTGAGAGATGTTTACATCTGTGAATCCACCTCCACAAATAAGACGTAATATTTCCATTTTTCCCCCAAAACTTTTGTGCTTTTGTATGCAGATAATTTTGAACAGGTTTGCCATCAGCTGGACACTTTTATAGTAATGTATAAGTTGTAAGATTGAACCAAGGAAAAAAAACAGTAGATCTGAATAATCCAGTAACCATTAAAGTACTAGTTGAATCAGTACACAAAAACTTCCCCATCCTCAAAATTAAAAACTCCAAGCCTAAATGGTTTTCTGGGTGATTTTAACCAAACCTTCAAGGAACAGATAAAAATTTCTGTTAAAAACAACATTTTGGATGCTAGAAAAAGAATAAAAGTAATCTAAGTCATCTACAGATAGTCTTACCTTGCTATTAAAATTGAGTAAGGGCAGTCTAAGGAAAAATAAATAACCAAACTCGCCTATTAACATGGAGGTATGGGTTTTTTGTTTTTTAAATATATTTTTATTGATTTCAAAGAGGAAGGGAGAGGGAGAGAGAGATAGAAAAATCAATGATGAGAGAGAATCATTGATCAGCTGCTTCTTGCACACTCCACACTGGGGATCAAGCCTGCAAACCGGGTATGTGCCCTCACATGGACCATGACCTCCTGGTTCATGGGTCGAGACTCAAACACTGAGCCACGCAGGCCGGGCTGTGTGTGTGTGTGTGTGTGTGTGTGTGTGTATTTTAATCAGAAAATTAAACCCAGCAAGGTATAGAAATACTTTTTTAAATGAGTTTCAAGGGATGTCACAATGTGTCATGAATAACTCTAACTTTCTCGATTTCACATCAGAGCTTCCCCTGGTATGACCTTATCAAATGCAACCAATTTATGCCAATACCCGCTGAACCCCTCTCCTGCTCGTGCTGCCTCCCACTTCGCCTTCAGTATATCCCATCCCCGCTCAGTATGCAATAGGAGGTCCTCCATGAGGTTACCACTGCTTCATTCCTTTAGCATTCTTTACTTCATATACTGTGCTCCAGTTTATTTAAACTACCATAACTTGAGGTGCCACACTTACTGCCTTTGTGTCTTTGCTTCTCCAAAAGCTCCTTTAACCTTTATTGTCCGGTAAGACACCTAATCCAAAGTAGATGCTCTAGGAAAATTGATGGAAAGCAGCAGCAGAGAGGAAAAGAATACAAAGACCATACACACCACACACACACACACACACACACACACACACACACACACTTAAAAATCTAATCGAGTAGAAGAGCAAGGGGAATGGCATCCAATAGACCAGTGTCATCATATACATTTCAAAGACAGCAAAAGAAAGATCCAATCCAATGTTCTGACTCCCAGGGGTGATTAACTTCTGTGTGATGGACATCAAAGGTCTGCCGATGTACACGGGACCTCAGGACACTTAACCTTCAGAGAAACAGTACCCGTTGGAAATAATAAGGAGGAGAAAATGTAACAAATAAGAAATCACATCACAGACACAGAGGAAAAAAAGAGAAAATGAATTTGTTTCTCTTGGGACAAACTTCAAGCAGTCGTATTAAAATAAAATGAGGGCTGAAAATGGTTTAAGGAAGAATGTGTCTGCTGTCACCAAATTTTAGGAGGAGATTAGGTCACGCAGGGATACAGGCGGGTTAACAGCTTCCTATGCTTGCCCTCCAATTTTGCTCATGGCCCTGTAATCGTGTCCATCAGGCCATCTTTCCCGCTAAGCCATACAGTTACTCCTCCAGGGCCTGGACCTTGTCTATTCTATTCATCTTCTATCTCCAGTTTCTTTCACACTCCCAGGCACTAAGTAAAGCACTCAGATATTTGATGAGCCAGAATGTGAGGGGAACTAAAGAGATCTATTTTACACTGATGAGCTCATCTTATTGGTTTGAGAAAAGATAACTCTTCTCTAAAAAAAGAAAATAAATAAATCAAAAACAAACAGACCTACCAAAAAAAATAAAAATCCATACACTGGCCCCAAGCAGTCTTCTCCTTCTGGCCACAGCAGAATTGCTGCCAAATGGCTGGTCCTATTTTCCTCCGGGCAGTGTGGAGCCAGGCTTTTCACACGGATAAGATGGGAACTGGGCCAGCAAACCCTAGGTTCCCCAGAGAAGAGCTGGACAATAATTCAAGCTCTTCTAAAGACAGCAGGGCAAAATACTTAGGCATTCATTCAGTCACCAAGCAAATATTTACCAAGTACCCTATTTGTAAGAGGTATTGTGCAGGGCCCCAAGAGGCTCTAAGTACCTGTGATTAACATAATGCTGGCAGGATGGCCATCATGTGTGTGGATGCCGCTACTTCCTTTGTGGCACGGTTCCTAAACACAGCCAGTTTAAATAGATGTCTGCGTCACCAAGGACAGGCTTAAAATAACAGAATGAAGAGCATTCCATAACAGGACCAAAAGCTAAATATTTTAGTTACTAAGATAATTTTAGCTCTAGCCCCACC